ACAGAACTTTGAGTTATGGGTAACACACATTTTTGTTTTGCTCGTAACTCGATGTCCGTAACTTGAACAATTCAGCATCTCCTCTAAGGCACTAATTCTTTGCTTGATTTGAATTTCACTATATTTGCCAATAAACTTTCTAAGATGCAATAGTTGACAATTAAGAGTGAGAAAACCTTGCCTTCATCATGTCCATTGTTTCAAATATCATGGTTACATACATATAGATGAGTAGATCTAAGTTACGTAGTTCACTCTACTGAACAAGATTTCAGTAACATCTCAAGTTACAGCAGTCTGAGCCAAATTCAAATTTTCAGCTACTGAGCATGTGTATGTCATGGAAAATCATTATCACCCTAGAAACTCAATTATATGTCAGTATTTTGAAATATTTTCAAAATATAAGGATTTATGTCAATAATAATAAATGAATATTTCATTCAATGTCACCAAGCAAAAATTTGAGATATGAAGAAATAATGTCATTATAGAAACCAGTGTGAAAATGCCAGTTTTGACCATTTTTCATGACATTTTGAATTCTTTGTAATTTGAAAAAAATGACAGGTGACCCCAAGTTTATTTTTATTTTTGATATCCTGATGGCATGAACTCATAATAATGAAAGTAAGATTGACATGTAATATAATCTTTAATTCGTCATGAACCTCCTTGATTAGTAAAATTAGCCTGGAATTCGCTGAACCTTAAATACACTACATCAGTTTTACAAATGTATATAGCAACAATGACTTACCTTTGAACCTTAAAATTCATGGTTCAATATTAAAAAAAAAAAAAAAACCTCACACATTAACCCTTATGTGGTCAAGTCAATGTAAAAGTACATAAAGTCTGCAATTCTGTGCATTATATTGTGTCTTGGCTAATGAAATATTGACATTTGTGACATTTTTATAGCTTCACTTGCTCAAATCATGACAGATATATTCTATGTGGAACTCTCTTCTTCTTGTAACACGTTACACACAACTGTGTGGAAATAAATGTTTTGACTATAAACTGATGAATTTATTCATTCAATGTGACAGGGAGGTAATCAGACAGCTACTATCATTGCACTGTGTTCCATGAGAGATTTCAACTTGACCCAGGAAACCTGTCAGTTAGCAATCCGTGATGTTGGTGGTCTGGAAGTGTTGATTAATTTATTGGAAACAGAAGACATCAAATGCAAGGTATTGTATACTGCGCCCTCTGCTGGTGTTTCCAACTGATGTGCAGTGGTGTTATGTATGTGAACTAATATGTCTACTAAGAATGTGTTTGTGTGCTGTGATTCGCTCCCCCCTCTAGTACTCATCCAATCATCCATCCCCCACATAACATTCACTCATGCTTTTATCCCCACACATCTTCCAACCCACACACACATTCTTATATTCCAGGTTTTTCTTTAGGATATGGTCTTCGCTAAACTGTCTACAAGACGAAGTGCCTCCAATAACTCACACTAAAAATAATAAAATAAAACAAATTCAAAATGTCAGTATCATGATTCATTGTAACAGACACAAAACTGTTTGTAAGGTATACTTTCAAAGAAAATGGTGAACACGTCACTCACATGTAACATGAATAATGCGCTACGGTGATGGCAACATTTTTGTTTTTCAACTTTATAACCCACTTCCTATTCACATGTTATTTGGATGCATGATATATTATTTTATTACTAAAATGCATGTTTTTCTGAAGTATGATATTGTAGTAGACCGTCTATGTAATTTTATTGTAGTATTATTTGGCCCATGGATGTAATTTAAAAAAAAAAAGAAGCATGTAGCAATATTAATTTAGAATATTTGCTGTACAATATTCTTTGCAAGTGGTAGCATAAGTACACATGCACTAAACTCTCGGCACAAGGAATCATCTCAAAACTTAGTGCTAGTTCTTTAGTGTGTGCACTAGTTCATAATCTTGGTTACTTCAATACTTTGAGTAATAATCCGCACCTTATTGAGTGGTGGCTTTCTTGTTATGGAGACATGACATGTGCCAAAGCTACACATTCACATTTGTTAACACTGCCAATTTCATATTGTATGTATATGTTATCACTTCAAAGAAGTATTTTTAGCAAGTTGACTCGAAAGGTGTTAAAAACTAGTATGGAATATACTGACAAGTCTCCAAATCTTTTTCTCTTCTTGATAATTGTTGTTTCACATTTCTCCTAAAGTTTATCTGCACCACACGTGTTGCACTGCACTAAAGCATGACATAAACACTACGTATGTAATGCATCCGAATAAATGTTATAATTTATTAGTTTTTTATTTATTTTCAATACAAATTTAGTTTTTTTTATTTTGTTACTTTCTATATGATACCTCTCAATAGTAAAATTTACACTTTACTCTAAATATTTAAAAATAGTCTCATTTTGAAATAAAATCTTTTTTTTCTGAAATACCATTTTTGCTTCTAGTGGTTTCGGTGATACTTCATGCATGGTATAAATTTGGGCTGTTTCATTAAGGTGTCTCCCTCCCCCTGGGTTAAAGGTACCTGAACGTTGATGATTTAATGTTATTTTGTTATCAGAAAACAAGGATTTCAGATAAAATTCCAGTCACTGATCTTACCCCTGATGAAGAATATCTTGTGGATCCTCAAACAGAAAGACTGCAGGTACACAGCCATGTCAAATGAAATCTTTGTTTACCATAACTTAGCGAAACAACCATTCAAATCAACTAAACAGTCCTAAGACCTTACATGCATCAATACACATTTCTAAGCGTATTTCCTTTTTATCAATATACCGCTAATTTGCTTGTTGTTCTTTGTCAGTAACGTTAATGGTAAACAAATATTTTATTTTGGATGGCCAAGATGGTCGCCATAAAAATAAACAGAACAATTTCTTGGTCCTCAAAAATTCTAGAAAATTTTTTTTTATTTTTGTTGTGGTAGGTATAACTATTTGTCATATTTGTGAAATATAAATACCTCTCACTGATACTGAACAGTAATTAACAATTTATATAACACAAATACATAAATAAATGTTTTTTTTTATACAATTACATGTATATAAATACATACATACTATGGTTGGTTTTATTTTGTCCATAAATTAAGACACTGTAAATGTACTGAATGATGATGATACAAGGTAACTGAAAAATACATGGTACAGGGCCTTAATGTAACTATTCTGGAGCCACACTTTTTCAAGGCAAAAAATGTGAAGGGAATACCTGATTGGTTGAGTGGCATCAATTAACACAACCAAGTGGGAGCATCAAAAGCAGTGCTTTCAATCTATTGAAAATAAGCCAAAGATGACAAATATTGCTTTTTATCATCATTATATGCTATATTACTGTACCTGTACATCTATATGTAATATCATAACTACCAAACTATGTTGTATTCTTGAATTCTCCACAAAACCTATAGTCTCCCCATTTACATATTCTCTCTTTAATGTCGTACGTCTTATGTTTACACCAGGACAATACCTGATCGTTATGGAAACTGTCAACATAATTTACATTTTATACACAGTGCTGCTGATGGAAACCTAGACAAGTTGATAAGACGAATTCATTGTATCAATAAACGTGTTCATATAGACGTTCACTCTTTCCTGACATATCACTTCCAGTATACATATGTATCTCCCTCTCTGTAATAATATCTTTTCTTCATTTCCATAAATACAAAGTTGCGAGTTTAATAGTTTATATGATTGTTTCTCTGTTGTAGTAATTTATTCATATAGACTTTTAACGTTGTCATATTGCAAAGATTGAAAGTGAGATAATGCGTTTTCATTAACACAAGCTTTGTGTAGTCTGTTTTAAGTTTTATTGAAGTGCATTATAACATGCCTGCTGCTTGTAAACGATTGTTGTTGTTTTGCATGGTGCCGCTTTAATTATGTTCTGTGCCATAAATCGCCTGTGATCTGAAACCTGGGACAACCACCAATTGTCGTTTGCCGAAGTCATATATGAATAAGAAAACAGTAAAATAGTTTTTCGGCGATTGATGAGATTGTAACACTGATGTTCCCTTTTAAATTCACTGCTTTCATTTTTTTCCTAGATTGGCTCATTGAAAATCTTGAGAGAGATTTCCCAGAATTTTCACATCCGACGAGCCATTGCCGACTTAGGCGGTCTGCAGACAATGGTGGAGATTTTGAAATCTCCCAATAAGGAATTGAAATGTTTGGCTGCAGAAACCATTGCTAATGTGGCTAGGTTTCGCCGTGCCAGACGAACGGTGAGACAGCACGGTGGAATTAAGAAATTGGTAAGTGAGTGTCCGATCAAGGATTGTTGAGATGAAAAATATGAAAATGTTTCTGTTTGAGCCAGATCTCTGTCATGTGTTGACCAATGTAATTCAAAATTGGTGGAAAGATTGTAGGTAGTTGATGCACATCACTTTAATTTGTAAAGTTCAAAATTCAACTCAAGATGACCAACTGGTGGCCATTTCTTTATTCTAGACATACATGTATATCTTGTAATTAAGCAATTCACTTCAAACTTTATACCTAGATTGTACATCATGGCACATACACACACACACACACATACAATATTTTTTTTATATGATAATAGATGACCAATTGCCGACTATTTTTACAGTAAAAAAAAAAATCTCTAATATAAGGTATTATATGTCCAGAAAAAGAACTACCGGTAGTTGTTTTAACCATGATAATATACATATGCCTGAGATTGTTTTCTATGTTCAGTTACAAAATGGCTGACTGGTGGCCATAATGGCCCGAGAATGGTCTAAGAATCCTACATTTTACATGTGTAGAGCATTATCTCCATGTTGTACTGGCCAATTCTGTTCAAACTTAGAATATTGGTATTGGTATAATATTGGCAAAAATACTTATTTTTATTCATTTATGCTTATACCTTGAGAATAAGTTTATTCAGATTTGGTACAGAGACAGTATATTATTTTTAACAATAGTTGATTTGTATTACAATCCAATCCTATATGGTCGACTGTCTGTCATTTTTTCGTTTGACAAAAATCAACAATTTGCATATATTTTTTTCACATTTCTGCTTATATGTCAAATTCACACTGTTCAAGTACATACAAACTTGGTTCACAGATGATTGTGTTTTAAAGTAGAACCCTGCATGTGAATGCAAAATACCCAGAATTTATTCATTTACCAATAAATTGTACTTCCAGGCAATATAAGGATATTGACTTATAAAAAGTTTAGTGGTCACAAGCCTAATTTTTCGAGAAACTTATGGTTTATTTGCTATTTTGGCAGTATTATAATGCTTTTCTACGACAGAGATATAATGCAATATATCAAATTGTAGCCCGGTGAGATAGGCTGAAAAAATTATATATTGTGAATGATGGGGTACTTTTTGTTGTCCTCAATTATTTTCAAAAGTTTTCTTTAACATTGTGCTCCATGGAATTGTTCTAAAATTAGCGATTTTCTCAAAATACATGCTATTTCAAAAACAAATGCTATTTCATGGTTCCATGAGAAATTAGCTTCATGATAGTACATAATGAACATTGTCATGTGATTTATGACCAACTTTCTCAAAATTATGAGGAGGCTTCTACTTTAACACATCGAGGAAACTCATGTCACAATCCAATTCAAAATGGCCACTTGGTAGCCATTTTGTTTGTTGAAAATAAAAAAAAAATTTTTTTTGCACTCTTTTTCTTATATCTCAAATTTAACTTCACAGACAATTTTGTTCTATATAAACAACAGTTGATTTGTGTCACAATAATATCCAAGGTGGTTGACTGGCAACCATATCACAACCATATTATAGTGTATTGTAGGATAGTTATTTCTCCATTAATCATTAAGTGTCTGCTTCCTAAGTCTGACATAACTATCACACAATGATTTCAAATTTGAAATTGTGATACAATGTACCGGTATATGTTTTACATTTTGCCAACATCAAAGTCTCACACATTAAATTGTCTGGCAGTCCAAGGCATCAGTTCACTATAGAACTGGTACCAGTATATGCACTTAATCAAACAGGAGCATACAGTACTGTATAAATTCTGACATTTTGTTTGTATTAATGTACATAAACAGGGGCTGTGACATTCTCAATGGCTTGTTGAATTCAGAGTGCTTGATTAGAGATTTTACAATGACAAAGACAAAGTAAATCCTAATAAATCTAGTATTAGCATATGCACTTATATAAACGACAGAGATGTATTACAGCAAAATAAGTCATATTTTAAGGTGCAGCTAACAATTATATGCAATTTTTTTTCGCATGGAGTAAATACCATATGCAGAGTTTGTCGTCTAAACATTTGTTTTTGTGATTCTTCTATCAAGGTTGGATTACTTGACTGCGCACCTCTAGATTCAGATCCTGTAAATCCAGAAGTTGAGAAGGACATCGAAGTAGCACGTAGTGGTGCATTGGCACTATGGAGTTGTAGTAAAATGACAAAGAACAAGCACGCCATTCGTAAAGCTGGAGGCATTCCGTTATTAGCGCAACTACTGAAGTCACCCCATGAAAATATGTTAATTCCAGTAGTCGGCACTTTACAGGAATGTGCTTCAGAAGTAAGTGTGAACCCCTACTACCACACCCATACTTGATTAAATGTAATGTAATGATTCCATAATTTAGGGAGGGAAGTTTTTTTTCTTCTGTTTACAAATTGAATCAATCAAATATCAATTGAATGTCTAATGCTATGTTAAATTTAACAAAAGCTTTAAAAAAGTTATTCAAATTAAATAATCAATGTACCGAGTGGTTCAAAAATATATTTGATGGTATGAGTATGTATGGACATGGTAATTTGGGAATCAGGAATTGAAACAGCGCCATACTCGGTTTCCAGCAAATGAAAGGGTATGTCTTCTCTGTAACACAAATCAAATATGAACAACATTTTGTGATGTCTTGCCGCGTCGTGCTCAACACAGTAACATTCTATTTAAGGAAGAAAGAAAAATATCCACAAATTTCAATAGCACTGACCATGATGACAAATTCAGATTTATCCAGGGCAGTAAATCCCTGTCAATTAATTCCTTTAGGATAATATTTGCGAATCTGCCAACACCTTATAGATACTTGATGTCACTTAACTTTTCATTTTTTTGTGTGTGCATTGTACGTGTATCCATCATCATCCATTCCAACGGATGTGATTAAATAAATAAAAATAACGCTGGGTCATGAATGAAAATTCAATTAAATTCCAGGAGAGATGCATTAATATTGTGTTTTCTTTCTAGCAAAGTTACAGACTCGCTATACGAACGGAAGGCATGATTGAAGATCTTGTAAAGAACCTGAACAGCGATAATGAAGAACTACAAATGCATTGTGCCAGTGCGATATTTAAATGTGCTGAAGAGAAAGAGACGCGAGATCTTGTTAGACAGTACGGTGGATTAGATCCATTGGTGGGCCTTCTCAGCAAATCAGAGAATAAGGAACTACTGGCGGCTGCCACGGGAGCCATTTGGAAGTGCGCAATTAGTCCAGAAAATGTACAAAGATTCCAAGAATTGAAAGCAATTGAAATGTTAGTTGGATTATTGAATGACCAACCGGAAGAGGTAAGAAACTTGAAAAGCAGGGCTATCTTAAACTCCCCATAGACAACAATGTAGAAACTTTAAAAGCAGGGCTATTTTAAACTCTCCATGAACAACAATGTAGAAACTTGAAATGCAGGGCTATCTTAAACTCCCCATAGATGACAATGTAGAAACTTGAAATGCAGGGCTATTTTAAACTCCCCATAGACAACAATGCAGAAACTTGAAATGCAAAACTATCTTAAACTCCCCATAGACAACAATGTAGAAACTGGAAATGCAGGGCTATTTTAATCTCCACATGGACAACAATGCAGAAACTTGAAATGCAAAACTATCTTAAACTCCACATAGACAACAACATAGAAACTTTGAAAGCAGGGCTATCTTAAAACTCCCCATAGATGACAATGTAGAAACTTTAAAAGCAGGGCTATCTTAAACTCCCCATAGACAACAATGCAGAAACTTGAAATGCAGAGCTATTTTAAACTCCCCATACACAACAATGCAGAAACTTGAAATGCAAAACTATCTTAAACTCCCCATAGATGACAATGTAGAAACTGGAAATGCAGGGCTATTTTAAACTCTACATAGACAACAGCATGGAAACTTTAAAAGCAGGGCTATCTTGAACTTCCTATAGATAACAACATAGAAACTTTAAAAGCAGGGCTTTCTTAAACTCCCCATAGACAACAACATAGAAACTTTAAAAGCAGGGCTATCTTAAACTCCCCATAGACAACAACATAGAAACTTTAAAAGCAGGGCTATCTTAAACTCCCCATAGACAACAACATAGAAACTTTAAAAGCAGGGCTATCTTGAACTTCCTATAGATAACAACATAGAAACTTTAAAAGCAGGGCTATCTTAAACTCCCCATAGACAACAATGTAGAAACTTTAAAAGCAGGGGTATCTTAAACTCCCCATAGACAACAATGTA